TCCCGGGCGAGCCTCCCATTGCTAGGGGCGAGAGACGGGCTCTGCGCGCAGGGACGGCTTCTGAAAGGGCCGGGCAGGTGAGCCTGTGCTGCCAGGAGTCCTGCAAAGTGACCGCCTCTGGCAGCTAGACCTCAAAACTGCTTGGCTAAAAGCTCTGTCGAAGGGAGATGTTCTCCTGTGCGACCGTGGTGACCCAGGGCTCTGTGTTTGTTTTATGCCTGGTCCACTCTGTGTTTGCATCCTCCGTGGTGTCCTGCAGGGTTTTGTAGATTTTTGCGCGCTAGAGCTATGTTAATTGGAGTCTAAACAAATCTCGGGGAGCAAATTATATCCTGGGGCATCTGGGAAACAAGAAACTTTCCCTTGTTGGAAATGCAGGAGCTGTGCATTTGCATCTTTTTGGGAGAAGGAAATTGGTAGCTTTCCCAGCCCGTACAAGGGGTGTGTGCTCTATTTTTCTTACAGCCCTGAGAGCAAATGATGGCTGGCATAACCATTTGCACTTGTGGTTTCTTTCTGTACGAGCACTTGGTGTCTATTCTCTTCCTGCAGGTAACTAGCCAAGAGTGTGTGGTGGCCTCCGTATAAAGCAGCTCTTGAGTTAGTGCTGGGATTTGTGTAGGTTGTTCCTTTGCCGTAGGAAAGGTGAGTACGATTGTTTCCATGTGTTGCTCGAAGTCTTTCTAGCTTAAATGCTTCCATAAGTGGACTGATACTTAAACAAAAGGACTGCCAGTCCTTTCTGCATTTGTTTGAAAATGGTGATTCTGCCTAATCTTTTATATAACTGGAGTTTATGGTCCCCACATGATCTTAGGTCTTTGTATGAGTATTTTTTTTGTTGCAGTCACTGAGTTTTTAATCGGTTTTGGCCTAAAGTACCCGGCTAAGAATGTGTGTGAACAGGAGGATCTCCTCTATTGTTTGGTCTTGGGTTTTTTTTTTGGTGTTGGGTCTTAATTTGATTTTGTAACTTAGACCATCTGTTCCTGTGGATAAGACAATCAATTAATCTGAATAATGATGTATCTGCAGAGATAAAGCTTTTTACAGGGTGATGTTTTGTGTAGTAGTTCATGCTGTGAGCACACTGCAATTTTTAATCATAGCTGTGGGATGCTGGAGACTGCATTTCCATCTAACGCTAGAGTGATCTATCTGATACTCCTTTTTGTTATAAATCTGGGATCTTAAAGGATGTAGTTGATTATTATATCTGACATGACACCTGAATCCTAACAGCAGCTGATTTCTTTGATTAACATGCAGCTGATTATTGTGAATGTAAAAAATGGACCACACGAGCGATTTTTGTCTGAGGTGCTCTGTCACACACAAAATTCAGGGCTCCTTTGCAGGAAACCACATAAGACTTTCCTTTGTATTTTCCAGTTGCCTATTGTGTGTCAGACAATGCCTCCTAATAACCTGTAAAAAACTCAGTCCTCAAAAGCTTTTTAATCCGAAGCTCTACCAGTGGTCAGAAGTGAGAGCTGGGGAGGTGTTGTGTAGTGTCCTGGGGTGATGTAGACTGTCTTCCGTGGGAGTAAAGGAGAACTAAGTTGCTGTTACAGGCCAGATCAAATTACTGAGGCTGTCAATGAATTCAACTTTTCCATACATTTTTTGAAAGTCTGGTGAAAGTGAATACTGGTACTATGCTGGGTGCTTCCTGAGAACATGGGCCTTAATCCATCCTACTGAGCTTTGAGACACTAGGAGTATTACTGAGGCAGCTCCAACTGATTTCAGATGATGGGAGCTCCTATAAGCATGTCTCTTATGGAAAACTAGTCTAAAGTTGGGTGTGCAGAAATCAGACCTCAGTCTCCCACTGTCTATGGTTTTGAGAGCACTTAATGTTCACTTAAGTAGACAGCAGTCCTCCCAGTGCAGAGTTACAGGTTTTTTTTCCCCTGCTCTGTCCATTGCTATCTAGTCTGATACCTCATGTCAGACTGATCAGGTGGGAGTTTGAGTGTCAGTGCTGTGTTAGATAGACCTTTAAGGCATCATACAATCTCCTAGAAGATCTTTGAGTACATTGCAAAAGCTTGGGTGGGTGGTAAAAACCTCTCTGCAATTGAAGAAAACTCACAGGGAGTATTGTTTAGTCAAAAGGAGTAGAAAAAGGTGCTGTTTGATCTTATGAATGTGTAGCTGCATTTTTTAATGAGGATGGCAAATACGCCATTTGTGACTCATGCTAAAGTAGAAACATTAGTCCTGATGCCTGAGAATATGGTGCTGTAATTTATAGACACAAGGAAAAAAGTATACTTAAAAGTCAGGAAGGGGATGGAATCATCTGTGAGGTGGCCTCTGGATGCAGCGAAATGAGGGCTCACTAGCTCTGCCTTGCATCCCCGAGTAGCAGTGGTGTTGTGCTTGTGTGGAGGGATGATGGAGGAGGTGGGGAAAAAATCAGAGACCTGCATAATTAGCAGGACAGAATGAGGATGCAAGGAAACAAGTGTGTGATTATGGGCACATCTGCCTTGAGGAAAGCTAATAAGGTTCTGTAGTGATCCTCTCTAGTTGCTCTGGCTGAGGGTCACAGCTGCCCTCTGTACCTGCATTTGTTCCCTAGTGCCCTTGTAGGTCTGGGCAGTTCTTAAGAGCTTCAGCTGTCTTGCCTCTAAGTTCACAAGGGAATTCTTCTTCTTGGGTTGGAGCCTCTGGTGTTGAGTGAGGCTCTTGTTTAAGCACTTGATGGATATCTGTAGGTTGGAGCAGCTTGTGTGCATCTGCTACTAATTAGTTGGTTAAGTGGGCTAGTTGCAACAAACTGGGTGGAGGATGGTGCTTATCCTCCCACCTGAGGGTAGGAAGGAACTCAAAGCCAGGAGACTTCACAGGTAAAAACATACTCAGCAGACACTTTGTTTCTTTAGTGGTTTTGATGCTAGTAGTTGTGTGTGCTGCCATATCACTATGTGTAAAGCATTAACTGTGGGATGTTTGGTGTATCTGTCTTATGTCTCTGTCCAGATGCATCGTTATTAGATGCCAGACCAGTTGTCATCTCTGCTAAGCGGCAACCAAAATGGCTAAGTACAGGCTTGTTCTTTTAAGACACGGGGAAGGAGCCTGGAACAAGGAGAATCGCTTCTGCAGCTGGGTGGACCAGAAGCTGAGCAGCGACGGGATAAAGGAAGCTCAGAACTGTGGCAAACACCTCAAAGCTCTGGGCTTTGAGTTTGACCTCGTCTTCACCTCTGTGCTCAGGCGCTCCATCCAGACCGCCTGGCTCATCCTGGAAGAGATGGGCCAAGAGTGGGTCCCCATTCAGAGCTCCTGGCGGCTGAACGAGCGTCACTACGGCGCGCTGATCGGCCTCAACAGAGCAGAAATGGCTCTCAACCACGGGGAGGAGCAAGTGAGGATCTGGAGGAGAAGCTATGACGTTACTCCACCTCCCATAACTGAATCTCACCCCTACTACGAAGAGATCTACAACGATCGCCGGTACAAATGCAGCGACGTCTCTCAGGATAATCTCCCGAAGGCTGAAAGTCTGAAAGATGTGCTTGACAGACTCCTTCCCTACTGGAATGAAAAGATAGTGCCTGAACTGAAAAGCGGCAAAATGATCCTTATCTCCGCTCATGGTAACAGCAGCAGGGCACTGCTGAAGCACATAGAAGGTAATGCTCTGCCTTTCAGCCTGCCCCTCTTCTCCCTACTCGAGTGCTTGCAGCTTGACATCATGTTCTGTAGCCTGCACCTCTTGTCTGGACAAGGTAACACTCTGTGTCCGTGGCCTCCAAGGAGGAAGTAGAAAGTTGGCCTGCTGGAACAGGAATCAAACTGGGGGGATGTGGGAGGGGAAGGGAATTACTTAGGTTAATGTAGTTAAAAGAAGAGCCAGATGCTTTCGCCTTGATTCTCACTGCTTGTTTTTAACTCCTGTATTCAAACTAGCATTGTGGTTGGTCTAGATAGACAAAAAACTTTGCACGCTGTAACAATTTTGGATTTATTCAGCTGCTTTATCAGAAGGGTTGAAGTCATAATCTGCTTATTAGACAAGCGTTGCTATAACACAGCAACATAAAGTGCTCATCTTGGTTTGTGGAAGGCATTCTTGACTGTTACTCTGGTGGGTCACTCGAGGCTCCGTTCTTAGTAATTCTTTACTTAAAAAAGCT